TTCCAGAGCAGGCTGCAGGGTTTCTTTTTGTTTGTTTGTTTATTTCTTTTGAACATTGCCAGTGTGGAAGTTGGGGGTTTTCTCCTTTCTCATGGTTGAGGACAGGCTGTGTGCAGGCCCTGGAGCAGGGGACTGTGAGCAGCGATGGAGGCCCCCATGTTCCCTGTCCCTGCTCCCCATGATGTCCCCACTCCCGCCCTCCTGCCTATTTTTAGCTCCCCTGATCCTGGCAGGGCTTTGATGCGTTGCTGCCGTCTGAAGGTGTTTTTTGGTTAATATTTGATGTGGCGCAGGTCTTCTGCTCTGTGCAGGAGCATACTGGCTGTCGTGGCGTGTGTTTCAGGGAGGGCAGCTTTCCCCTCATTTCCATGGGGGATGGCACATTTCCCTGCCATGAGCACTTGCAGCACTGACACCGGGGCTTCGCTTTCTCTCTGTGGCTGCAGACAGAGACGGAGGATGAGAAGCGGCGCTTTGAGGAAGGGAAGGGCAGGTACCTGCAGACCAAAGCCAAGCGGCAGGCGCAGATGCAGCAGGCTGCCCAGCAGTGACCTGCCCTCCACTCTTGCTGCCAGCGCCTGCCGAACTCCAGGTTGTTCCCGTTTGTGTTGTGTCTGGTCCGCGCCTCCACTCGCCCCTGCCGCCGCTGGCACCGCTGCTTCGCCGCTGGTGGGCTCAGCACTGCACACCTCGTGCTTCAGGGGGCACTGAGAGCCCCTGGGAGCCTACCCAGGCCATCTGCCTCCGGAGCTGTTGTCACTGTTTGACTCCCCATGCCAGAGTGGGATGGAGGCGTGCGGCGGCTCCGGGGGCGTGTGGGGCTGCGAGTCCTTGTGCTGCCCTGCGAGTCCTTGTGCTGCCATGTTCAACTCGCTGGTTTGTCCTACCATGCACACCAAAGCTTTCGCAAGTGCGGCGCTGGGACCGCACTGAATGTCTGTGACATCTCTAAGTAGTTCTCTGTGCACATCTAAGTTATTTAAGGAACCCTGTGGCATTAATAAAGTCTGTTTCATTGACTGGAATAAAAGGCTGACACTTTTATTTCAAACAATTATGCTTTTCCCCACTCCCGCCTCCCCAGGATTCACCCACGGCCCCAAGTGGTGCAGTGTGCTCCTGCCCTGGGTTTTAAGGAAGTGTGGCTCTTTTAACGGGACTGCGCAGTTCCTGCCGGGATGGGTGTCCCGGTTTGGGCTATTGAACAACAAACTATCAGAAAGGAGGTTATAGTAAGGTGAGGGCCGATCTGTTCTGCCGTGCCTGCAGTGAGCGGCCTGGAGGACATGGCCTTAAGCTGAGACAGGGAGGTGCAGATCAGATATCAGACAATGTTCTCCCTGTTCGGGCACTGGAAGGGGCTGCCCAGGGCGGTGGTGGTCACCATCCCCGGCAGTGTCCAGACCCGCCCAGGCCGGCGCAGGGCCGTTTCCCGCCTTGGGGCCGCGTGCCGGTCCGGGGGGGCGAGACCGGACGGTCCCACCGCTGTGCCAGCCCACGCACCGGCCGCGCACTCTCGCGAGAGCGCGTCGCTGCAGGGGCGGCGGGCGGGACCGGGGCGTGAGCTCTCGCGAAAGAGCGGCGCGGTGCGTTTCCGGGCGACGCGGGCGGCGGGGCGCCATGATGGCGGGGCGGCGCGCGGCGGGGCGGCTTGGGCCGGGAGGCCGCGCCGGCTCGGCTCTTCCTGCTCGGCCGCCTGCGGTGGCGCACTGCCAGCTGTCGTGCTGGCTCGTCCCCGCCCTAACTGGCGCCCCTGGCCCTCCGGGCGCTGGCACTCGCCTTGCACGTGGCCGCGTGAACGCGGCCGCTGCTGCTGTTATCCGCCGGCCCTCTACACAGGTGCGGGGACGGCCCGGGGGAGCGGGGCGGGGGGCGGCCGCGAGGGGCCCGGTGCGGTCCGAGTGCGTCCCCGGTCCGGGGGGCAGCGATCGGGAGCCACCGGGCCCGGGAGCGGCGGGCGGCAGCGCGTTCTCCCCTTCCTGTGCTTGCAGATCGCCGTCCGGGCCTGTTTCCTGGGCTTTGCCTTCGGCTGCGGGGTGCTGCTGAGCGCCGGCCGCTCCGCCTGGCGCCACTTCGGATGGTAAGGGCCGGGCCGGGCAGGGCCGGGCAGACGTGCTGCCTGGCCCTGCCAAACCTGTCCTCCCTCCCTCCCGCCGCAGGTACATGTGCTCCCTCTCCCTCTTCCACTACTCGGAGTACCTGGTGACAGCCATCAACAACCCACGCAGCCTCTCACTGGACTCCTTCCTGCTCAACCACAGCTTCGAGTACAATCTGGCTGCCCTGTCCTCCTGGGTGGAGTTCACGCTAGAGAAGCTCCTCTTCCCAGGTCAGCCACCCTGTCCTTCCCTGGCTCTGCCCGGCTGCACGTGTCTTGCCTGTGTCCCACCTGTCTCTTAGCAAAGTGTAGGTGACCCCTGGCTCACTGTCCTGTGCCAGTCCTGGAGCAGCTTTACCATGACCTTAATCCCTCTTTGCTCAAAGCCTCTCGAGTTGGGTCTTGGGGGGCACTGGAGATCTCCCCTTTGCCCTGAGATGCCAGGCTAAGGGGTCTTCAGCCCTTTCCTACCTTACTGGTACAAGAATAACACTTTGAGTACACCTGGGTGTTGTCTTTTGACCAGGTATAAAATCAAACTGGCAAAAACTGTTGCTGTTTGCCCAATCTGGGGCAAATTGGTTGCGTTCTTCTGCTTGTTTTTGCAAGAGGGAAGCTGTTGCCCTTTCTTGTTTCATAACAGCCCCAGCATGCCCTTGGCTGTGCTTTGTGCTGGCTTTGCTCAGCCCCTAAATCCAGGCCCTGCGGGTTAATCCGTGCTGACGCTGCGCTGACGCCGGGCACAGGTTGTGCTTTAGAGTAGGGGGCAAAGCCCACCCACCGAGCAGCCCCCACGCCCCCCCACAAGAGCTGTGCAAACCCGCTGTGCCCCTCCCTGTCCACACAGAGCTGAAGCAGATCACCTGGCTGAGCACCGTGGGGCTGCTGATGGTGATCTTCGGGGACTGCCTGAGGAAGGCGGCCATGCTCACAGCCGGCTCCAACTTCAATCACATCGTGCAGAACGAGAAATCCGACACCCACACCCTGGTGACGAGTGGGGTGTACGGGTGGTTCCGGCACCCGTCCTACGTGGGATGGTTTTACTGGAGCATTGGAACACAGGTACCATATCTAACATGGTACACATACCTGCCTGCTGCCTGCACACTGCTGCCTTCCTTCTGGGGAGAAATTAGTATTTATGAAGTTTCACAAGGGTTGTTGGGAGCTTTTTTTGGAGAGCATTTAGAGCCCATGGCAATGTTACTGGAGTGGGATGAGCTGTGGGGACGGGGCAGCCTCAGGCTCTCGAGGGGACACTCATTAGTGGCCTCTGTTCCAGGTGTTGCTCTGCAATCCCATCTGTGTGGTTGGCTATGCACTGGCGTCCTGGCGCTTCTTCAGGGAGCGGATCGAGGAGGAGGAGATCACACTCATTCACTTCTTTGGAGAAGAGTATCTGGAGTACAAAAGGAAGGTGCCATCGGGTCTCCCTTTTATTAAAGGAGTCAAACTGGAACTGTAATGCAGGTGAAAACCAGACTGGCTGAGCAAACGCCCGGCTCCCGCCGTGCCAGGTGCCTGCGTGGCATCAGTGTTGGGATGTGCCTGTTGGTATTTCCCAGCCACCCAGAAGGAGCTGGTGGAGGGCTGTGGCACTGGGCAGCCTGCCGGGATTCTTGCAGATCAGAAGCTCGTTCCTCCTCCTCGAGATCAGCCCTTCATTGCACATTCAGGGATCTTCCAGATAACTTAGCCTGTAGCGACCCTAAAGAGAATGAATTGTCCTGCCTGCAGCAGCTGAATTGTCCTGGAATGCCTCTGGACCAGTTCTGCTGGAGAGCAGCACTGCCCTCTGGGCCCCAGGCAGAGGAGGCGCTGGGCAGCAGATTGTTCCTGTTGCATAATTCAATTTTAAAGCTTTCTGACCTCGTGAGCCCAGTGCTGCAGCTTTAATCTCCTTGGGCCCGACTCCTTGAGCTGGCACTGGGGTGGCCATGGGAGCAGCCTCCGGCTCTGCCTGCCCTCAGAGCGCTGGCAGTGTGGCACCACTCGGCTCTCTCCAGGCCTTGGCGTCCACAGGGAGAGATCCAAGCACCTCTGAGCCTGCTGCTTCTCCCTCAGCTGCTGCTGCGGATGCGGAGTCATCACTGCAGCTGCTGCCTCCTGCCACCACCTCTGTTCCCTCTTCCCGCTTCCAAATCACGCTGCTTCCTATCCTGCCAGGCCACCTCTGTCCTGCAGAGATCCCAGGATTTTGGGTTGGGAAAGAACCACAGCTGCCAGGCTTGCTAAGGGCTTTAGCACCCGAGATCCTCACCTGCTCTTTTGGGCAAAAGCCAGGATGTTGAGGCAAGTAGGAGATGCTCCTAGGGAAATCTCCAACCAGGAGAAGAGTTGGGCTAGCTAAAACTCTTTTAAATGTGACCATTTTGAAATGGTTCCCACTGAGCTGTGTGGCATAACTTATTCTGTCGTTATATACCAAAGAGGTTCACTGTTTCCTTGAGTTCTGCATTATTCTTCCTCGCTGGAATGGAAATGAGTTGCTTGTCAGTTCACGCCTGGGGCTTGTGGTGTTCCGTGGGGAAGGCACTGCGGTATGGCTCAGGAAGGGGCACTGGTGGGAATGGCTTGGGTTTGGGCTTGGGTTTTCTTTTTTTATAAAAAAAACAAGAGAAAACATTTCCAACTTCTGTCTGATGATTATTTGAAGGTCCCTCGAGGTGCTGGTGGCATGGAAACTGGAATCCTTACTTTATAATTTCCGGTAGGTTTTCAGAACACTCCATTGTGGCACTGAGGCACGACTTTGTGTGTTCCTGCCTCTGCCCTGCACCAGGGGTTGGTATTTACCTCCCCCCCCGCCATAATTTGCAAATGTTGTGGTTTTAGGAGCAGCTGGACACCCCAAGCCAGCAGATCCCTTCTGTCAGTGCCGCAGAACCACGCGGACACAAACACTTGTGCCCTTTTATTTCACTCCAACACACATGAGGGAGAGCACAAAGACAATTAGTTTTTCAGAACCAGGTTCCCCTAAGGCTTTTGGATGCACCACAGACATGGGTGCCTGGCCTGTTTCCTGCCCTGGCTCATGGCAGAGGGCGAGAGGAGCTGGTCAGCAGCCCGGGCACGGCTCTGCCCAGTGGCTCTGCCGTGTGCCCAGTGCCGGGCTCTATGGTGCCGGCTCTTTCTGGGCAGTGCTCTCAGCCCCGCTCTTCTGCTGGCCCCTGCAGCAATCTTTGCTTTTCGGGGAGGGGTCTCTGGGGGTGCCATCAGGCGTGCAGCCCTCCCCAGGGCTGGCCGGAGCCCCCTCCTTGCCCAGAGCCCCCTCCTTGCTGCTTGGCGAGGCATCCCTGGGGAAGGGAAGGCACCTTGGCAGTGTCAGTGTCTGGGAAAGGGCACAGGGGGAATTTGGCACTTGCTGTCACCTACCTTGGCACTGCTTCACTGTTGTCGCAGATCTTGAGCAGCATCTGGGCCTGTTCCTCCTTGGGCTCCCGGGGCTCCTGCAGCCTGCAGCAGGATGGGTGTGAGCCGTGGCTGCATCTCCCGCTGGCCCTGAAAGCCCCCGCGCCCCTCACCTGGGCTCCAGCCGCTCCTTCACCTTGGCGATGGAGCGGACGTAGGGCACGATCTGCTTGGTGATGGTGCTTAGGCAGCTGTTCTCCTGCCTCAGCTGCAGCAGGTCATGGAGCTGGGCTGGGGGTGAGAGAGGTGGGCCGGGGGATGGTGGCTCCCCAGCACTGGCACAGGGGGCTCAGGGAGGGGGAGTGGGGTCACCGGTACCTTCATAGATCTCCTGCTCGTTTGCCACCCGCTGGTAAGTTTCCTCCCAGACCTGGAAGGAGGAGAGGGAGCTGGGCAGTGTGCAGCAGTGTGGCACGGAGGGGCCCTGCTCCACTGGGACGTGCCAGCCGTACCTCCTCGAAGACACTGCGCATCATCTCCACGGCAGAGTAGTGAGCTGCGATCTGCACGTCCATCTGCAGGGACTTCTGCAGGATCTCACTCATGATCTCTGACTTGATGAGTGAGTGGTGCTTGGTGAGGTCGCGATGCAGCTCCTGCACCTGGTCCTTCAGGCCCTGGATCTCCATCTGCAGCATCTGTGGTGCCAGGGGGCAGGGCCACGTGAGCAGCACTGATCCGGCCCCTCCTGCCCTGCCTCAGCCCACTCCAACCTGCACTCCGTACCCGGTAGGTGTTCTCGTAGTTGCGGCAGTGCTCGGCGAAGGGGGTCTCACGCCCCTCAGCCAGGAGCACCTTGGTGCTGATGTACCGGTGCATCGTCGGCTTCCTCACCATGGGGCTGGTGGACATTTTGTCACTTGAGGGGGGACAGCTGGGCACCATGAGGGTCTTGGAGCATTGGCCACCAGGGAGCCTGCACGGAGAAGTGACAGTGACACGCTGCAGGTGAGCAGTGGCAGCAGAGAGGTGCCAGGGGCCACGCCATCAGCTCAGTTCCAGCTCCGCCCCACTGCCCCCCAGCCCTGCTAAGCCTGGGGATGTGCCAATGCCCTATGTCCCTTCCCTCGCCCCTATGTCCCTTCCCTAGCCCGAATGCAGGGGCTTAGTCAGAGGTGCCTTATGCTGCCCCAAAAATCAGGTTTCTGTGGGCTGCTCTCCCTATCCCTGTGGCTTTGGGACCAGCTGCAGCAGGGAGAAGGCAGGAGCTGAGGTCAGCATGCTCTAGTTTCTAAAGGGCAGGATGCAGCTCGCTCCCTCACCACCGGTATCTCCTGGCCCCTTGGCAGGCATCACTGCTCCTGTGTCCCCTCCATCCCGTGGCCTCCCCGTGCTGCCCACCACCATCGGTCCTACCGTGCAGCGCCGTGCTCCCCCCGCCTGTGCCGGGGCCAGCAGCCCCCAGGAGCTCAGCCGCCCTGCGGCGCCGAGCCCAGCCGGGGCCGAGGAGTGGTCCCCATGGGGCGGCAGTGCCCGTTTGTCCTCTCTGGCCGGGAGGGCCTGGCAGGGCCAGTGCTGCTGTGACATCAACAGGCCTAAATATATCCCGGGCGAGGAACGGCCGGGCACTTCCCTGAAATTCTGATAAAAATAGTGATGGGCAAAGAGGCTGTGGCGCAGCGGGTGGGCCGGCGAGCAGGAGCTGGCCCCAGTGCAGCACCCGTGGAGCAGGGGCACAGCCCTCCAGGGACTGCGGCAGGGGCCAGGCTGGGGAGCAGGGTGAGGCTCCCCAGCTGTCAGCTCTGCTGATGCCCATCCCATTTCCCAGAAGCGTCACTTGAAGCCCTGTTGCCTGTTGTTCATCAGTGCAGCTGTGTCCGCGCTGTCCCCATGCCACCGCTGAGGTGACAGGCTCAAGGGCAGCAGCAGGGGCAAGCTTGGCATGGGATGCCAAGGGCATTGAGCAGCATGGCGCGTGGCAGGGGACACAGTGGCACATGTGCCCTGGGTATGATCCTAGCACCTCACATGTTCGTGCCAGTGATGCCAGGACCGATGCCGCCGGCACTGCCCACCACGGAGCGGCGGGGGCTGAGCATCAGGAGGGGCTCCAGGCAGCGGGCAAACTCTGCCCGGTACTCGCTGTTGATCTGGGGGCAAGATGGGGTGAGCAGGGCCAGGGCAGAGCCTGCAGCTGGCACTGCCTGCGGGGTGCTGCAGGCAGGGACCCACCCTGGGGTGGGTGGCAGGAGTCCTCTACCTTGCTGGTCTGGGCCGGCCGCAGGCGGTGCGGCAGCTTGACAATCCTCTGCAGCCTCTCCATCAGTTGCTGAAAGGCAGTGGTGAGGCACAGTGAGGGGTGCCTGGCATGGTGAGGGGTGCCAAGCACCCTACCCATGAGCTCAAGCACTGCCACGGGGTGCTCTGGCCACCCCAAAGTACTGGCAACACTCACATAGCCCAGGTCCAGGAACTCGGCTTTGTTGGCAGAGCTCAGGAAGGCTGAGCAGGTCACCAGGTGGACCTGTGTATGTGAGCGGGTCTGTCACTGTCCAGCTCTGGGGGTCAGGACATCCCTGCCCGACGCAGGGCCCTACCTGCAGGGTGGGCAGCAGGGAGGCGAGGTGTGCAAGCTGCTCCTTGAATGCCTTCTCCTTCTCCTCATGCTGGCTGCAGCAGAGCAGGGCATGGCACAGCTTTCCATGGCACCTGGGAGCCATGCAGCCCCCCCAGGCACCCCAACACACCCCGGGCAGGGGAGATGCCCCTGGGAGGGGGCTCAGCCTGTGGTTCCTCACCTCTGCACAGCTTTCAGAAGCGTCTTCTTCCTCTCGGAGAGCTGCTCCTGCAAACAGCACAGCCACCGTGGGTCCTGCAGCCACCCCAGTCCCCTCAGCTCTGCCGTGCCCACAGGCTGGGCACCCGTGGGCGCAGGGCACCACGTGCTGCCTCACACCTGCATGCGGCCGAAGAGGGAGTTGATGGCAGCCTCCTCCTCGCTGGCACTGTTGCGAACCTCCTCGATCATGGCCTTGAGCAGGACGATGGCCTCGCGTGTGGAGGTCTGCAGCTCCTTCACTGCCTGCCTGGGGCGGTGGGGCGGCTGCAGCGTGGGGGACAGCACCGCTGCCCTCACCGCCCCCCGCGCCCCCCGGTCCTGCCCACCATCACCGCCTGGTCCAGCCGCTGGCAGCCCTGCATGTACGCCGTCTCGATGTCGATGCAGTGTGCCCGGCTCTCCCTGCAGGCACGGGCATCAGGGCACGTGGGACGGGGTGGGACGGGGCACAGGGCAGGCACGGGACCGGGGCCACTCACCCCTGCATATCCCTGAAGCAGTTGATGCAGAGCATGGACTTCTTCTCGGTGGAGAACATGATGTAGGGCTCCTCGTGCAGCGCTGCAGGGGACAGGGAACATGGTGCAGCCTGGCACGGCACGGTGCTGCACAGCACGGTGCAGGGCGGCCTGGCACGGCACTCACGGCACTTCTTGTGGATGTCTTTGGTGCGCTTGGAGAGGGACACGATCTCGTGGCGGGCAAACATCCTGGCGTGGTGGGTCTCCTCACGGCACGGGGTACACAGGGGCTGCCCGCAGGTGTTGCAGAAGTACATGGTGTCCAGCTCCTGTGTGAGGGGACACAGCTGGTGGTGGGCATGGCCCCGGTGGGGGTCCTCTGTTCCCCCCCGCCTGCCCACCCCCCTGCCCTCACCGCCTTGGCGCAGCGCCGGTCGCAGTTGGCACACTGCACGTCCTCCTCGCTGTCGGCCGAGCTGTCCACCAGGAACTGCAGCAGCCGGTCCACGGGGGGCAGTCCCGTGCCCCCCCTCACCACCGAGGGGTGCCTGTGGGGACAGGAGGGGCACAGGGATGGAGACACTCACCCGGGGCCGGCAGGGCAGCTGTGGGGAGCAGGGGGGCCGTCCCTCACCCGCAGAGCGGGCAGCGCAGGCGGCCGTCGCTGGCACGGCCCCGCAGGCAGCTGGCACAGAAGTTGTGGTAGCAGTCGAGCAGGCAGGGGTGCTGGTACGGCTCGTGGCACAGCAGGCACACCAGCGGGTGGCAGTTGGCCTTCTCCAGCTCCGAGCAGCTCCCCAGCGGGGAGAAAATGCCGCCTGCCATCTGCGGGACAGAGAGCAGAGCCCTGCGCCCGGGGGGCCCCGCGTGGCACCGCTTTGCACAAGCACCGTGGCTGCCACGGAAAGGACGAGTCCTGCCCCGGGAGCTGCCGCCTATTTTTAGGTTATGAGCTGCATGGCACGAGGCTGCCCCAAACACGCCCCTTCCCCCCGCACCGCGGGGTTGCAGGGTTGGGTGGGATGGTCCCTACAGTGCAGCATCCCCCAGGGTGGGTGTCCCCAGAGCAGAAGCATCCCCTGGGTCCCCTGTACTGGAGCATTCCCTGCAGCGGAGCATCCTCCAGGACAGGGGTAGGGGATCCTCCAGGACTGAGTGTCTCCCCGGAGGGAGCATTCCCTGCAACGGTGTGTCCCCTGCCCTGGGATGTCCGCTCCAATGGCAGTGAGGGCAGCCAGGTGCCCCACACGCTGGAGTCCCCGTCCCCGGGGCGCTCTGGCCGGGTGAAGGTGTTACCTGTCCCCGTCTGTGGGCCGGGGGATCCGAGCCGAGCCGTGCCGCTGCTCCCCTTGTGCCGGCAGGAATGAGAGCGATGCCGGGCCCGGCCGACCCCGTGACGTGGGGCCCCCTGGCACTGCCACGACCCAAAAATAGCCCCGCGCGGGGCCCCGTGT